TGGGGTAAGGGGCTGGGGGGGGGGGGGCTGGAAATAACCTATGCTAGAGGGATGGGTAGGAAAAATACAGTCCTTTTGAGGGGTAAAGGGCTGGGGTCAGTGGCTGGGCTTTCCCAGCCCTAAAGCTGTGCTGGGAACTGTATAGAATTTCAGGAAAGTCATATAGGTCTAAAAATGGCCAACAGAATCTAAGTTGAACTACCTTGGAGGTGGAGGTCAGCCATTTTAGACCAATTCTGGAACTTCTGTACAGTTTGCACTTAAATTAACCTACCTTGGGATCTAAGTGTAAAGTCTGCATCTGGGTGAACTAAGTTAGATCAGGTGGCCACAGCTTCCCCCTAAGATCCCTGAACATCTGTATGCACCCACAGACTAACCAAAGTAGAGCTGTACATAGCACAAGTTTTCATAAGGTGAAGCTCTTTCATCAGATCCTGTGAAAGGATGTACAGAAAGTAGAGTACAAGAAGGGGAGAGAAATAAGAATACAAATGATAAGGCAGGAAAGAGCAAGAGGGGAAAGTCCTGGGAGAGAACAGCAAACAAACATTTAACCCGTAGGAACAACGGAGTCACCAAAGCTAACCCAGGTATGGGAATAGCAATGTTCTTTAAAAAAAAAAAAAAAAAAAAAAAATCCTAGTAGGCATTTAAATATCATAAAAACTGGCATGAAAAGCCTCCCCATACCATGCAGGTTCCTAGTTGTCCCTTCCAAAAATCCATAACTTTCCAGTTAGGAGCAGAGAAGGGCATTGCAAATGCTACCGTTAGAGATGGTGGTTGCCTGCTTGTGATGAGAAATCCTGCCCTGGCTAAAAGGAGTCTAATGGAAGTTATACTGTATGCTCTGTCCACTCCCATTATTTTTCCCTTAACATAGCTAGGATTTATGGTGAAGTATGTTCTTGGATTATATTAAATATGCTCAAAGAATTATTTGGCATCCCTTTAGAAGCAGCAAGAAAATGTTTACCTTACTCCAGTAATGTCATTTCCAGAAGTATTTATTTTATCGCTTGAATGTTCAATATTTAATCAGTAGGTTAAGTATCCAATTTCAGGGGTCAAAGAAATCCTGCTGCTTCCCAAGAAATGAGTAATATGTATCGTGCATGTTTTCTTACATTGCCATATATCACTGTCTAATACTGGTGGAGTTTTGGCTAATAGAGTTATCTGTAAAGTTTGGAATAATTATAAATGTACTTGTTTGAATGAGTCTTCTGTATAAAACAATGTTTGACATCTTCAATTTGCTTGTCATCCCCAAGAAGGCTCCAGTACTTTATAAAGTTACCTTGACATGCAGAGTGTAAAGGGATCACTTAATCTATTCCTGAAGTGTGGCCAGTGTTTTGGGGGGGGGGGCTTTTTGCGGGGTGGGGAGAGGAAGGGGAGAGGAGATAAGTATAATAGGTTTTTGAATACACCACACAAAATTACAGGTTAGGGTCCCACTTGTAACTGTCGCTGGTAGGTGTTATAGGGCTTTGGCCCCCTTCCGGTCGGTGCCTTGGCCCCCCCAGCGACATCAGGGTGAGATCAGGTTTTGGTGCCACCTGAGATGGCTCTGGTGCTGCCCCTTCTTGCCTGCCACATCTTTGATGTTCATTGTTGGGGAGGCAGTTCCCTGTAGGTGGCCCGAGGGGATCTTGGCCCGGGGGCTATCTTAATGGGGCTCCAAACCTCCCCTTTAGCCCACCCTTACCATGTCCTCAGCTTGGATAGATGCTGCTCACTGCAGGTCTTCCCACCGGATGATTTCACCTCATCCACACTGCCTGCCTCAAAAGGGGCCAGGTCTTCCTAGCTGTCAGTCTTTCTGGGATTGTCCCTTGTCTTTGGGTCAGCTTCCCCCTCCTGGGCAACTAAACCTGCCCCATGCAGACTGGACTTTAACTAAAGACAATTTCACTGAAAAATAACTGGCGTCTGCTGACGGGGCTTCTGAGATTCTGTCTCTCGGGGCCCTTGATTCCTTGGGGGACTCGTCCATATTTTTTATCCTAGTAGGCTTGGGGACAGGTAACCTCCCTGTGCCCAGCCTCTGCTGATTCTCCCTATGTGACCTTCCTGGGGCCTGACTGACCTTTGGTTAAGCTGCCCTGGTCCCACCAGGCAGCTGCGGAACTGCTGAGCCTGTGTCAGCGTTTCCTTTCAGCTGCCATCCATCCCAGCTTCTAGGGTGTGTTGGGCGAGGGTTTGGGCCTCCCCTCTCACAATAACCTGATCCAAGATGATATGATATTAATAGTAATATTTCCTGTGTCATTTAATGGCATTTGCTTCGATCCTAGAAAATGAATTGTTCATTTTAACCTGAAGAAGGTGTTTTACTTGACAACAAGCAAATTATCTTCTGTGCAATATGGCCAGTACTTTCCTACTCATGTATAAGATGTCACATTGGTAAACCCTCGTAGTTGAGGATGATTGTCATATCTGTGGGTCTGAAGGTGTCTGACAAGGCTTATCTGGGATCGATAGACTCTGTTGCAGCTTGGGCATGTGTTCGTATGAGGTAGGTGGCTCTGGGCTCTTGATTCAGTCCACAACACACTGTTTCTGCCACTCCCACTTTTCTGTCTCCTGTTGTCATTGTAAAGTTTCAAAGTACTGTGATTCTTGTAGAAGACTTCCTCCATTTGAGGCAGTTGTGGGCAATAGTCTCCCATAAGTTGATGTTGCATTTTTTCAAGTTGGTCTTGAAGCATTTTCTCTGGCCTCCTCTTGAATGTATGCCTTGACTGAGCTGAGAGAATGCTGTAGTGTGTGCTCAGGTAATCATCAATGTCTTTACCAAGGCATACAAGAAAATGGGACTGATGCTTAACATTATGAAGACTAAGATGCTCTATCAACAAACTATTAATGAGCAGTCCCCAGCTCCAGTAATTCAAATTCACAGTGAGACTCTTGAAAGCACTGAGTATTTCTTGTAGATGGCTTCCAAGATCTTGCAAAAGGCTGACATAGATGAAGAATCCAGTATCACCTCAAAAGTGTAAATGCAGCCTTTGGGTGCCTGACGAAGTAGGTGTTTGAAGATCATGACATCTGATCCAAAACCAAGCTCATGTTCTTAACAAACAGTTTTGATCCCCACTGTACTGTTTGGAGTTGCTGTGGCCAACATACAGGAGACACCTCAAGTTTGTTGGAGAAATACCGTCAACACTGCCTGTGGAAGATCCTTCAAATCCAGTGGGAAGAGAGATGCACCAACATTAGCACTGTCTCACAAATGAACAACATGAGCATTGAGGCAATGATCATCTAACAACTTCACTGGACCGGCCACATCATCTGGATATTTGGCACCAGATTCCTGAAGCAAGCTTTATTCTCTCAGCGTAGTATAGGATGTATCATGAAGTTTTAATGATTAACATCATCATGATCTCTTATGTCTTAAACTAATATATCCAATTTAACATTGCTGTCATCCCCTGTGGTTTGGGTTTTTTTAAGGAAATTGATAAATCTGATTTAATCTGGTACAATTTCCTCTGCTGATTGCTACCAGGAAAATAATAAATTTGAAATTCAGGAAAGGCTTCAGGGGTAAATTACACAAAATTAAACAAACTTGCCAAAACTTTCAAATAAAATAGGCTGATTAATCTCCCTCCTTAGGCATTTATCCTGCTTCTCAGAATAGTATTTGAGAACCTTAACACTGATGGTAGCTAAACTTCCACCACAAAATGTGCTTTAACTGCATTTTGTCTTGTATATGTTTATATATGGGGAGAGTTGGGTTTTTTTAGTGAGATTTAGAAACTCTCTTTTGGAACACAGCAAGAATGTCTGGCTATAGCTTCTCTATTTCAGTTTATACCATAACATATTTTCAACCTTCTTGAATCAGTGTACGCCTCGGCTGCCGGAGTGGGGGGTGGCGTGCGACCAGATGTGGAGCAGCAGCAGCCACCATGTGCGAGCTTCCCCGACATTCGTCCAAGCAGGCGGCACCTGCATGGCAGCACAGGATGGTGCATGGCAGCTCTCCGTCCCTACCCACCTGTGTGTACCCCCTAGGGCCTTCTCAAGTACCCCCGCTGGTACGCATACCCCTGGTTGACAACTCCTGGTGTAGTAAATAAAATATTTAGTCATTGCAGTTTTAACCATTCCTTTCTTTATGCAAAACTGTTATTTGAATTTCATGTTTGTTGTGGAGGACTTGAAATGAAAGGTCTTCTAATCACTGACAGGAATAGAAGTTTAATTTTTGCAATTTTCCAATTTTTTTAAAACTCTTTGCTGGAACTACTAAAAATGGCCAAGAAGTATTAGTACAACACAATAGGCAATGTGGTTGTGAGCTTACCTCTGCTTTAGATGACCTATAAGGCAAAGTACAGCCAAGTGTCAAGTCCTTTAGGGATTAAATTATAACAACTGATTCCCAGCTGTATTGCTTCATGATGTGGCCATAAAATATTTGTTTTGTGTTGCTAAAGGAGGAGTAATCGATTTTTGAATACTAAAGAGCTGGCTTAATTATACAGTTTAATTTGCATAGATTAGTATTTCTATTGTATTTTTAATCAGGATAGTCTCTTAGGCCAAATATGTTTATAATCATGAAAAGCTGTTTAGATACAAGATAAAAATGCTGGCCTTCATTAAGCAATTAATGCCCCAAACCAATTATAATTGGGGGGGGGGGGGAGGAAGAAGGAGGGATCATTTGTTTGTTTGTTTTTTAAGCAACAGAGAGTGCCACCTTCTTTGGCCACTGCATTTTTGGTGTGACCTTTCCACAGCAAATGACTGCAATGGGCAGTTATACTCTAAGACTATCCAAATTTTGACATTCTGCCTGTGTATGTGGTAGGGAAATTGTCTGATATGGGCTGAAAAGGTAACTCTTCATAACTGTTCAGCTACTTCCTGCT